AATTAAGAATATCATCAATTCTTTCAGTAGTATACTTGGATGCTTGACTAATTGCATCAGAAATTTCGATTTCATTATTTGAATCATTTTCAAGTTCCAAAATTGACTTAATTCTGTTTGATACTTCCAAATTTTGATTCTCTATTATTACAAATGGCAGTAATAATGAATGATTCATATTTGAAGTAGGGTCCATATCAAGTGCTTTAGCAAGTTCAGACGCCAATTTGTAAGAATGTTTAATAGCTAAAGTAATATTCTTATCTAATGGCCAAGCACATAATTTTGCTAACTTGCTTGGATTAATATTTCTAATATTATAGTCAAAATGGTAATCTATTTAAAAGAAATATAAAGGAAGGAAGATTTATAATCAGTTAACTAGTAATTTTTACTTCTTTTATTACAACTAAATAAATGATAATTAATTTACTAGGAAACGGAAACTGTTGTAAGTCCGGAGCGAAAGATTTGTACAAAAATCCAAATATCTTTAAAAATTTAATTTGTACAAAAAATCTGGCATCCCTAAAAAAATAAAAATGAAAAATGAAACGTTAGAAACGTTTCTTTAAGGTTAAACAAGTAAGAAAAGCCCTCCCAATTTACCTTTAAAAGTCCGGCATGTACAAAAAACCTGTGTTTCTAGATAAAAGAAAATAAAAATGAAATGCTAGAAACGTTTCTTTAAAGCAAAACAAATAAAAAACAACTCACCAGTCCGGTATGTACAAGAAATCCAGAAACCTTAGGAAAAAAATAAGAAAGTCGTTTAAAAGAAAAATATACTTACTAGCCGAAATCTAAAAAAAAAAGGTAATCATAAACTTTTTTACTTGTTTATTTTTGATGTAGTACAAAATTTCAATACACATTCTGTGCGGACTAATAAGAAATGACGTGTGCGGACAACCGGAAATTGCCACATGACACTAATTGTCATCGACCTTTGTAAAATTATATAGTCCTTCATTACGCTCCAGACAATAAGACGTAAAATTTGTGTAAATAACTATAAAAATATATGTCTATATAGTATTATTTTTTTTAACAATCAAATATAATGATAAATATTCTTATTTATAATAAAAGTATGCTTGCTTACTATTACGAACTGATTTTTCTTTTTCCAATGTAATATTTTTTGTTCTTAAAGCTTTAGCACATTGAGAAATTTTCAGAACTAATTGTAACAATTCTGAATAATTAAAATTAGAATTAATTTGATGTGCCAAGTGCCATGCCAAAAAAGTGTTCACAAGCCTCTGACCCATATATCCATAGCAAAAATGGATAATTTGGGTAATATTCCCAATGTGCTTTTACCAGCAAAACTATAGACTTCGCAAAAGAAATGAAAATTGCAAAACTTTGATCTGCTAAAAAGAAATAAAATTAGGATACTTTTCACTCATATTTATTACATATTCTCTCCAAAATCGTAAAAAGAAAAAGGATGTCATTGACATTTTAATTCTTTCTAATGGAGTTATTTTACAGTTTAAGTAACTATCAGTAAGTTCACCTAATTTTAATTTTTAAATTATAATTTAATGACAAAAAAATACTATTACAATAATTATATCAAAATTATTTTTATTTAACCCATTATAAAAAGGTATACAAAAAGTCCTCACATGTCTTCTTTAGTATTGTGAACTTTATGGCAATTTTGTAAATTTTCTGAACAAAATACACAATAGTTGCACTGTTATTTTAACAGTCAAACTTTATTACATCATGACGATACATTACAGAATTAGAAAGATTTGACAATTTTAATAATTGTTCAAATCGTGCAGTTGAACTTCCAAGGGTAAGAAGATGGATGCCAGACATAATTGCATTACGGCTGGTTTTTTTTGCGTGTTTAGGATTTTGTATACAAACAACAGGTTCTACTTTCAGAAAAATTGGGCAGCTGAAATTAACTCCAGGTTTATTATTTTTAAAAGTTAACCGCTCATCTGCTGTTGAATACGATTGAATTGCAACTTGAGCTTTAAATTTGACAATAGCACCATCTAATCAGGATCCCAGACAATTATAATAGAGGTCATATCTGTGATACTAATAAAAATTCGAAAAAAATACACATAAATTTAGTCATTTTATTATACATTTTTATCCTATAACCTTTATATAATACTAAAATATACTTTTTTATCATATGACATTAATATATATTTACGTTAAAATTTTATTTTTTTATTTATGATATATCAATATCATATATGTTAAAATAGGGTAATTTAGATATCACCTCTATATAATGTTTAAAATCTAGCAAATCAATAAAATACACACAGTTTTATCAGGTAAAATTTATACTGTATGATAAAATTTTATGATAACTATGTTATTTACAAAATCAAAATAAACATCAATTTTACAACAAAAAAACTATGTGTAAAAATTCCAAAATTTCCAAAGATTAAAATAAAAATTACCAAATCTATTACTAGAGATCAAAAGCAAAAATTGTCATTAAAGATCAAAAATAAGTTTGCTAAAAGATTAAGAATAAAAGTTATACCACCAAAGAAGTACAAAATTATTACCAAGATATGAAATGAGTCTAGTGCTCCAAAACGAGTCGAGTTGACTCGCGAGTTGGTTGAGTCGAGTCAAGTCAAGTCGAGTTGAAAATTACAATCAAATCGAATCGATTCGAGTCGAGTTAATAATTTAATAAAATCGAGTCGAGTCGAGTTAAGCTGAATTAAACATAATTCCGGCCAAATTTATGGAATTTCCTTTTTTGGAAATTATGTTACACAAAATCCGAGACGAAAATTTTTTGAAAATTACAAAAATGGAATTTTGTGGAATGGCTATCGCCAAAAAAAGGAAATGATCGGCATAGCCGAATTAAAATCATGTGATTTAATTCGACTCGACTTGATTCGGTTTGACGGGCCAACTCGACTTGAATCGAGTCGAGTTTATATTTTTATAATTTTAACTCGACTCGACTCGACTCGATTTAACTCGAGTCGAATCGAGTTTACATATAACTTGACTCGACTCGACTCGTTCGGAGCTCTAGGGGTAGCATTGCTGTATCAGATGATTCTACTGCTATAAGAACAGGTAAATTTTCAAGTATACTACTATTTAATTTTATTAAAATATCATCTTTGTATCATCTAATAGAAATAATACTAATATAAAATTTTGCTGTATTAGAATAAAATATAACTCTCCAAAAATGGCGGCAAATTATTCCTTTTGTAATTGTTTTCAAACAAGTACAAATATGTGATCCATCATTAAAAAGAACTACTAGATTTTCTTTTTAAGAAATATTTCCTACTCGATGAATTTTCTAAGTTTTAACAATATTTGATGTATCCATATCATTTAATATAGCTTTTAATATTACTTGTAATTCATCTACTATATTTTCTATGAAATTATCATTTGGAGTATCAAAAGGTGAGTTCTGTAATGAAAAATAATGTTTTTTATTTATAAATGTTAATCAATACCAATAGTTTTATTTTTTAAGAAATAATATATACATCAAATGAATAAGATATTAGTTGCCCTTCATAAGTAAATGATTGTGAAATTTGAAAACGTTGTAAAGATAATATAAGAGGAATTAAAAATTCAACAATAACTGTATCAACATCTGAAAAAAATTGAAAAGAAAGATGTAAAAGTCCAACTTGCTTTAAGTTCTGTTAATTAACAATATCTAATTTCTCTTATTTATAGCTTTTTTCACCTCACAAAATGTATTTGTACTATTTAAAGATCTTTTAATAATTACATTAAAGCTTTCTACACTTTGTGAACTTTGTATTCCAGCATTAAACTGGAATGGCATATATGCTTTAGCTTAACTAATCTGATTAGCATATAATCATATTCTAGTTATATAACGTTCACAGTTTGAAAATGATTTTATCATAAATTCCTAATATTGCTCAACTATATATATAGAAAGCTTTACTATAATTACTAATGTTTTCGCCTAATTTGGATTTAAGATGCTTTATAATATTCTGCCATATATAGAACATACAATAAAAATGTGGTGTATTTGGAAAATTTGAGCAATAGCATTAATTAATTCAGGTTCAGAATCAGTCCAAAATGATTTCAGAATTATATTGTCAGTTGCTTTTACCAAATATTATAAAATCCAAGTATATATTAAATAAAGTTCGTCTTCTACTAATACGTTTGCTACATTGCAAAATCTTCCATAGTTACCTTTTATCATAAATACTCTTAAGTACATGTTATACTTATTAGTTTTACAAGTATTGTCATTTAATACTATATTAGAAAATCACCTATACAATTCTTATTAACTGAAAGACATCCAAAATATGCCTAATAAGCGATTTTCATTACTAGTATGACGAACAAAAACTTTTCAACGTGAGTATTGAGTTATTTTTTCAAATAAAATATTAAGAAATAATAAAAAATCAGGTCTTTCATTTTTATTATTTTGGCATAAATTATAAATAGTATTATAAATGTCTTGTTTATGAAATACATGTTCTAAATACTTTTTTTTAAGAATTTCTAGTTATATAATAGGTGCAACTTTGCAATCCAATAAAAATTTCAAATTTTATATTATTTCATTATTAAAACGTTTATATATGAGGTAATTAGGTAGAGTTTACTTTATAGTTGCGGGCTAAACTAATTTTTAAATTTGGCAAAATGTCTAAACCTTAGTTTTGACAATTTTTTTATAAGAATTTATTATAGTTTCGCCATTACATATAATTTTTATAGTTAAGTTTTACCAATTTATTATTAAGTTTTTAATATAGTTTTACCAAGTTTCACATTTATTATAGAGTTTCACCTGTAACCTTAGTTTGCTTTATGATTATATATATCTTTTAATGATATACATTTTACTTAATTTGCCATGAAAAGTTGCAGTGCCACTCACAATTTATCTTTATAGTATTACATAAATGATGCAATTTCTGATCTATTACTATTCTGGATTCATGTTTTTCATTTTAAGAACAATGAAATGATTTATATCGTATAATAGCAAAATTATTTGGATTTTTATTATTTTGATAAACTTGATATTTAAACCCTCTTTCTTGATGTATAAATGTATCAACTGATTGCCAATCATTAAAATAATCTCCTATAGTAAAATTATACTGATAAACCTGTTCAGATAATGATTCAAAATCATTTTCAAAAGGTAGTTTAAAAGGAGTTTCACAAAAAGGTTCAAAAGAAGGTTCAGAAAAAGGTTCAGAAGATAACTTTAAAGAAGGCTCAGAAAGTAACTCTAAAGAAGAGTTAATAGATGGTTTAGAAGGCGTTTTAAGAGAAAAACTATCTATGTTTGTAAAATTATGATTAAAATCTGGTTCAGCAACTGGTAAAAAATTTATAGCAAAATTATCATTAAATGGTGATAATAAAAAGTCTAAAGTTTCAGAATATGGTGAAAAAAATGCATTTGTCTTATATATATCTTTATTATAATTGTTAGAATCCTTCATATTGTTTATATTGTTTAAAGAAAATTATAAAAATAAAAAAAAAATGGTGTTCTAAGGCTAAAAGTTTGTTTATACATTATGTAAATTAAAGTAAAATTCACCAAAGGTGAATTTCACTATAAAATTTTAAAAATTTATGTAATACATGTATGTAATATATGTAAATCAAGGTGAAATTTACCATTAAATTACTGAAATTTGGTATTTTAATAAAAATTTATAAAAATTGAAGTGAAATTCACCACTGGTAAATATAAAATTAATCAAAAAAAATAAAAAAATAACTTTTTTTTTTTTTTTTTTTCCCTATGTAAAGGCGCGATCATGTTTATTGATAATTATGTTAAAGTAATACAATATATTTACAAAAGTAAAATAAAATAAAGTATTCTAAATAAAGTTTTAAACATTATCAATATACTGCCCCTCCCGAAGGAAAAGACCGACCTGTCACCTTGAGATCAAAGGTGACTCGTCATGATAAATCTAAAAATTTGACCAATGACCTCCCTTGTCAAACACCAAGCTATTCCATAGCTCCCAACGCGAACTTACTATTTTATCTAATTTATTAATTACAAATTTAGATTTGTTGGCTGACCTTTTCATCTTTGCATTAATCCCTTTCTGATGTTCTAAATCAACTAATTTAACATTCCTATACTTCCATATAAAAATTTTGAAATTAAAAATTAATTTATTAATCAAACTATCTAATAACCTTACCCTATCTTTGTCTATTATTTTGTAACTCTTAAATAAATTAACCAAATCTATATGCACGAAGCCTTTTGCTAACATAGATAAATTGTATGTCTTATTAAAATCCCAAATTCTACAGAGCAAAATCTCTTTAAGAATATTCTCAGAATTTAAATTTTCTTCTTAACTATTCATTAATATCAAATCTTGTATGTATTGTTGTAATTTACCTATCATGTTTTAGTTTACTTGTCTTAAATATTTACACTTCTATAAGTGTGAATATGTTTTATCATCTTTTAAACACATAGGACATTTCCATTTAGAACTATAAACATGTGGTTTTCTTTTAATTAGGTTATCAAGTGTTGGTAATTCTTCTGTCCGAATTTTGACTTTAAATAAGTTTAATTCATGTTCTGAAAAATTTGTTAATTCCATATTACCTTTGAGCACTCTAAACGTACATGACCATTCTATCTCTGCAAGTGTCTCAGAATTATTCCAACACTCATTTCTATGTAGGTTGAAAAATTCTTCTATCCATTGAGTTTCCCTTATGTGTTTAATCATGATTGTAACTTCTTTTTCAATAAGGTTACGATTCTAACAAACATTTCCTTTGTACATTAAAAGTCTTGGATCAATATATATAGGATCTTTACTTACAGCGTCTTTAGCTAAATTATCTACCATATTATTGTATTCACTATCGTTATGCACTTTGACTTTAACTAGCTGCACTGATAATTTAAAAAATTTAATTATTTTAAACCTTAATATCCACCATACGTTATATGGTCGTTTTCCTTTAGATATCTGTTGTAAAGATTCTTTTTTTAATTGATTGAAATTTAGTGATACCTGGCTAAATTCTTTTTACCAAAAATTTCAGTTTCGTCACCAACTAGTTTTGGTTTCGTCATTGACTAAACTATATAGTAATATTTTTTAAGTTTAAATTTTAATTATATAAAATTATAATTTTATTATAAAAATATATTAAATTATATTATACATAAAACAGTTTTATAAATTCTTTTAAAAAATATTATATTTTAATATAAATTTATTATTTTTTTTTTTATAAGTAATTATTATAATTAAAAATCCATGGAAATCTATAAAAAATCCATGGAAATACTATGGAATATTGAATTTCGGCATTTCGTCTTTTAATTTTAAATGTCTAAACTATTTCGGTTTAGTCAAATGACTAAATATTTCAGTTTCGCCCAGAATCTCTAGATTGAATGTATTAATTATAGTTTGTGCGTCAACATATATCGTAATATTCGCATCTTTGGGACAAATTAGTAACACTAATATTATTGCTATAAGCTCTGCTTTGAATGCTGACGGATTGTCACTTGTCAGTGATGTTAGCATTAAATTCAAACCTTTTTGGGCCAAATAAAAAAATAACTAAAAAAAATCAAATAGATTTTAAAAAGATATTAAAGATAAATAAAAAAGAAAATCTAAATTAGTAATTACAAATACTTTTTAAATTGCCTTTTAGAATATATTTCAATAATAGTAGATGTAATTATATTATTAAACTAATAAATATTTATTTTATTATTAAAATTAAAGAAATATTCTATTAAAGCTATAAGTTTAAAGTACTATTAGATATTCTATAAAACCTGTTATATTATGTATATCAAATAATCTAAATACAAATAAATCTTATGTAAATAATATTAAGGTATACAATAGTATACTTGAATTTACATTATTAGGAATAAACTTTGATAAATTTTTAAATCTTAGGTAGACTTTTCTATTCAGTTCAAATAGAAGTCACATGGTTTCATTTGGGATAAAGGTGGTAAGGAAAAGGTCAGAGTGTACACAGTATGTGGATATGTAACTTTTGAAGAAAATCATTTGAAGAAATATTAATAGTAATTTTTGAAATAATTATTTTTTTTGATTTCATTTACTATTATTTTTATTAATTGTGTATTCTGTTAATTGACTATATTGTAAATAAATGAAAATTCATTTATTTATAATAAAGTTTTTTTTTAAACCTATGCAAATCAAATTTTAAAATATAAATCTCTCATATATTGTATTGTTACACCGTTTTGTTGAATTTGGGAAAAACCTGTTTTTTAGAAGCATTTATGTTTAGTTATTCGGGATCAAAAAGTTTGCAAATGTCACAGTTGCACAAAGTTGACAAATTTTGAGTTTGTGTACAACTTAGAAATTCAAATTTTATCTTAGTGTCAAAGTGAATTTGACAGTAAAATAATAAGTACTATCTTTATTTTTTTTTTTTAAAAAAAAAAGCAATATCGTACATAATAAATTTAGATTATAATATCCTATTGTAAAGCAGGTAAAATTTTACCGTAACATTCCCCAAATCCAACTAAGTAACCTTCTCCCTGACAATATCCTGTTAATACTATTTCGTCTCCATCTTCAATAAATTTTCTTTTAATTCCATCAACTTCATTTTGACCGTTCCATGTAATTTCTAATAAAGATCCTCTAGAATCTTCGGTCTAAAAATTAAAAAATATTTATTCAGGGAAATTTTAAAATGTATAGTATGAAAGAACTTACAGGTCCGCTAATAGTACCGGTGCCACATAAATCACCGGGGCGTGTATTGCAGCCATTTACTGTATGATGAGCAAGTTGTTGTTTCAGAGACCAGTACATATACCTTAAATTTGACCTCGTTAGCGTCTTGAAAGAATCACTATTATTTGCTATTCAATAAAAAAAAATGTTGTTAACTTGTATTAATCGAATTTCGAAGATAAATATTAATATCTACGTTTAATTTTTACTTCCAAATGAATATCATATGCTGATGGAATATTGTCTTTGAGATAGGGTAAAGGAGCTGGATCCTATAAACGAATAGATTTAAGAGATTATTTAAAAAGAAAAATACATATATATAAAACAAATATATATATTAGATATAAACCTGGATAGGTCCATTAACTAAAAATGGCTCCAAAGAATCTAATGTAACGACCCATGGCGAAATAGTTGTACCAAAGTTTTTACCCAAAAATGGTCCTAAAAAAACAAACATATTTATGTTGAATTTTATAAATTAGAAAGTTTAAATTAATAAATAATCTTACCTAGCGGTACATATTCCCAAGCTAATAATATAATCGACGAATAATTAATTTTTTTTATCATTTGTAGTTCAAATAAAAATATTTAGTAGTAAACCTGCCTTGAATATCCCGAGCTATTAAGAAAATATTTTTTTATCTGACTAAATAAATTGAAAGAAAAGTGAATAGTAAATACTAAATTTATACAATTAAATTATTTACCACTCCAATCATTCATCAAAACCAATCCGAATATATGGTTGTTTGCTTGATCAATCGGAATTCGCGCTCCAAGCTTATTACCCGATCCAATAAAAAATGCCTAATAAATTTGACTCCAATGTATAGATTAGACTCTTCTTTTATTGTTTATAAAAGTTATGCTTTACCATTTCTAGTTCAAAATCCAATTTGGCGGAAGGACCGAAAATTGGAGGCTGATTTTTGTCAGGTGATATTTGTCCACATGGGCGAACAATATCTGTTCCAGAGATAACAATAGAGGAAGACCGTCCGTGATATCCAACCGGTAAATATACCCTTATTAAATTTATTTTTTTTTAAAAAAAAAAATTGATAAAATAAAGGCAATTCGACAGAAATACTCACCAATTTTGCATCAATGCATTGTCTTTACCCCTAAACATAGTACCAACATTGGTTGCATGTTCTTTCGAAGCGTAAAAATCTGTATAGTCTCCGATATGAGCTGGCAGATGCATTTTAGCCGATTGCTGCGCCACGAAAGCTTTTTGTCTAAGCTCCTCGTTGTCTTGTAATTCTGGATTATCATGAGATAAAATGCTTTGTAAAAATCTTCGTGTAGCTTGCCATATTGGTTTTCCTAATGACATAAACGAGTTTAAAGAGGGCTATAAAAAAAACACAGAAGTTACAATGAAATCGTACTATAGCTAGGAAATTATTAATCATGTTTTAGTTCATTACCTGAGAAAAAACGTTTGATGGATTCTTCAATTCTGGAACATATTTTTCGAATAAAGTTGTTATGGCAGTCAAGTCTAATATTTGATCACCTATGGCAACACCAACTCGTGGCGAAAGCTATATTTGAATTAAAATTAGGAAATGATTAATAAATGAACCTAATTTTATCTTACATTTTGTTGGGTAGAAAAAATTCCAAATGGTAAATTTTGGATGGGAAAATGTGAATTGGGAGGAACATGTATAAAGGATTGCATGGTTTTTTTTTCGGAAATTAGATGACTGTGAGAATAACAAGAATTAACAACTGATCAACACTCACTTACTCTACATATAATAAACTAAATCACAGGACCTTAAAGATTATCGTTGTGATACATTGTAAATTGGCCAATCGCAATTTATGAGATTGTCAATCACTCATCAATCTGGAAAAAAAGCTTAGTAAAAGATTGCTTTTTCAAGTTAAACAATAGCTAGCCAATAAGGAATCAAAGAATCAAAGAAGAATAATTCCCACGTTACAGAATAATTTCATATTCGTGTAACACACAATTTTGTGATTGTTCTGAATCATTATAATAAATCATTTCTCAAATATCACAAAATCTGCTGCGGCTTGTCGTTTGTATTCCGTCATTAAATATTAGTCTAAATGTATCACAGGATTTGTAGTACTGATAAATAAAAACTCAAAGTTCGCTATCTTGACAATTATCCCTTCTCCCTTTATTGAACGAGTGGCTTTCAATATATATATATATATTTTTTTTTTAACTCTCGGGCCAATCTGTTTTTGGAGGGTAACGCGATTTCTATTCAGTTCGAATCGTTAACTGCTCCGTGTATCTTGAATTCGGGATATATACTTTTCAGTAACTCTAAGTTTACACCGCATTCGTTGCTTGAGGACAGCATTATTTGTACACTCATCACACAACGCGTGTTTTTTGCTTACTGGCCCTAGATCTTGTAAACGATCAAAAACTTTACTATACTTTACAAAATTATATAATTTGTGTTGTTAAGTTGACAACATTAATTTGTATTTATACGAACTTTTTAAAGTCCAATCTCCTTATGTCACAAAAGCTACCCGTAGACCGGAAACCTCTTGAACAGGAAGAGATTACTGGTCTTGACGTGAAAGAGGGAGTAGAAAATCAAACCTTGAAGAATGAAGAAATGGATAACGAGGTAATAATTGAAGACGATTTGGATGGAGCAAACAGTGAAAAAGAAAACTTGTCAGAAAAGAGCGAAGATCTTGTGGGTCGTCAAAATATTAAAGAGGAGAGCAGTAGTGAAGATGATGATGAGTTGGATGATGATGATGATGATGATGAAGACGACGACATTGAAGATATCGATGAAGAGATAGTAGAAGAATATGAGGGTCATGAAGAAGACTGTGTAGTAACAAAACCAATCACACATGTGTCCCGTCGAGATCATGAACAGCATCCAAAGAAGCGCGTTGCCTTGGCTTCAGAAACATCTAGGCAACAGCATTCTTCTCATCGTGGTCGGAATAGTCGTAAAGAACATCGGCATATGGCTTCATCATCCGAGGATGAAGACTATGTGTCTGATGATGTTGACGACGACAGCGAACCCGGTCAGCGAAGAAGACATTCACAAACCTCAGCTACTGGTTCACGACGGCGGGGTACAAAGGATGAAGACTATCCTCTTAATAATTATGAAAGTTATATTAGTCAATTAAAAGAACGTTTGTATTTTTTTAAATCTTAAATAAGAATTTATTTTATTATTAATTTTATTGATCATAATTATTTTGTTTCTCTTAGCAAATCCTTGCAAAATACTCAATAAATTTAATGATTTTGGAGATCTCATTATCTCTGGTCACAATAGCTTAGACACTAAACAACATTTCATTGATTTAATGTATAGAGAATGGTTTCCAAAATTTGCAATTGTATTATTAAATCGGGGGTATTTATATTAGATTTTAAATTCTTAAAGTTTATCATTATTTTATTTATTTGATATTAATTTATGTGTACATATATTTTAAAAAGCTACCCCACTGTAGCACCCGCACAAGCAAACATTATTGCGAGCACAATTCAATCATTTTTGACAAAAGTTCTCCAAATCTCTATTCGACTTATCGAAGAACCGGAGTCAATGAATGTTAGCGAAGATGAGTTTCCGCTTTCAGAACATATGCAGGATGCAGTGTCTCGTATATTAGGAGATGAAAATGCTACGTTTTATCGTAGATTTGATAGTCGATTTGATACAAGGCGATTAGATGTAGGTGTAAATTCAGTCATGGTGGGAATAGTTAATGATGAGGTTTGTAGACTGGATTTCAAAGTTATTAGCATATTTTGAAATCTTGCAGACGGACCCTAAACTTACCCAGTAATTAATATTATCAAATGACTAATTCGTAATTGCTTATGTTATTTAGATTGGAGAATACGATGATTCAAGTGATATTATTGCAATGGAACAGGTTCAAAAGAAATCAATGAAGATTTTATAATTTAAGATGGTTTCTCATTAGTAATTTGTGCTGATAAAGCCTTTCATGTTGCTTGGCACCTGTTCCCAATTCCAAAGTTGGAACCACGTATATCCCAGTACCAATACGAATCAATAAATACGTTTGTCGGTAATGGTGGATTAGAGGCCGTCCTCCGTGCTCTAGGTTATGTCGACGAAACGCGTTCGATACGAATCGATACTCACCGCTTTAACAATCTCGATCTGAAAGACGTTCATGGTGTTATCAGAATGATTCACAAGGTAATTTATTTATAATAATTTTGTTTCTCAATAAATAATACAAATAATTCTAATTTTAATCGTTTTATTAGATTGGTCCATATGTCCCTAATAATGTGGATTTTAGACAATTTGTAATGAAGGTTGCAAATTGCGTATACGATCAAATTATAAACATACCTGAAGAATGGCTTATCCGTCAAGATAAAAAATTAATCCCAAATATTGTTCACATGGTCACATCCATGATATTAACTTTACCTTCATCTGTTTCTGGTACAGTCAAGGATATTGAGAGGAACTATCACCCAATGATGTCGTCAGATGAAGATGACGATGATGATAGCGATTATATGCTATATCAGGAAGTACCCGATGAACAACAAGTTATTAGGAGTGCCCAATTGAAAATTGATATTGCAGTTCGCTTATTGAAGACTTCAAGATTGGACTTGCGATTAACAGGTTTAAATGAAATTAAAGAAGCTCTTATTTTAGGTCTAAAACAAGCAAGAGTACTTAAAAAGAGTAGACGTAGAGGTAATGCTCGAAAAAGAAGTTTGAGTGTAGATGGCGAGGACGATGCTATTCAAGTGGATGAGGAAAACCCTTCCGACAAAATTCATCGGTATTTTTATTATCTAAAATTATTAGAAACATGTTCCGTTAAAATCTTGGCTTATTTAAATATTAATATATTAAATATTATATATATATATATATTGATGTATGTTTACAGTGTGCTTAACGAAAAATTACAGGAATATGCAATTCTAGAATATATATTTGGATCTAACATTCATTTGGAAATTGTACAACGGTGTACTGATATTTTAACTTTTATGATACATACTCGTACGCTAACGACTCGTGAATTGGATATTGTATGGTCTCCAATTGATGGGAATCAACATCGTAGCATAATTCACGGTGTTTGCCAAGTTTTAATTGAAGTTTCAGATTCATTGAGTCAAGATCAAAGAGATTATTTGTTTCAAAAATTAATGAAAATGCCCATGAGTTTTATTGAAACACAGACATATCTGTTAATAAGAACATTGGTGCAGTCTACAATGACCTGCGTAAGAGTAGGAGGAGTGGTAAATATTAAAATTATGTATTATTGTGCCTTGATATTTAATTAATCATTATTATTTTTCTTCCAATTTATAAGCTCGTCAGTCATATTTCTTTCGAAGCTCACCGAATATTATGGCGTATTCTATGTGATTCCTCTGTTCCTGTACCAGTATTAATGAATGCAGAAGTGTTATCACCGACGGCTGGTTCCTCTGCTTCAACTATATCAACTATTGACCCGGAAATTACGCAAAATGCTTGTACTGTTTTAACAGAATTGTTACAAGGTGATACTCGTCAGGAAGATCGCAACGCGCTATTAGATATGTGCATCGATTGTTTGAAGAGGCATGACCCAGGAACAGTATGGGCATTAAGAATATTAACAAGGATTATTTGTAAGTTATAAAATTCTGTTTTTAAAAAAAGTGGGAGAAACAGAATCATAAAATAATATTAATTTGCAATAAAAGCTCCTCCGTTTCCAAATCCTTCCACGACTACCAATGGATATCTTCATCATCTAATAACTGGAGTGAATCTACCACAATTGTTTTTGGATGATTTGGAACATTGGACTAAAACTGTAAAAGTTTGTGCTGATAGGAGCTATAGCTCATTTAGCATGGATCTTGGTGAGAGTTTAAATATTTATTAATATTTTTTCTTCATGTATCAAATTAATAATTTAATTTTACTTAAAAAAAAAAAAGATCGTAACATATCATATACTGCTTCGTCTTCGACGGTTTTACTCTCTCCGTCGAGAGCAGCAATATTAAGAGATCAACTAATTTCACGTTTGCAATTTTTACAATGGGTTGCAAATTATGAAACCATCCCATTTTTTACCTCTACAGCACAAACTGATGTAATATGGAACTGTTTAATCGTTGATCCAATTGGCAAACAAGAACAGGATGAGGCATTTTCATATTTCGATCATATCATTGAATATGATCATTTTACAAGTCATTTTTTTAATAATCGTTTGCCTGAGTTAGATGTTAGATATTTATCAGACCAAGCATTTAAATATGCCAAAAACTGTTTGCTTAAAGTTAACGCGAAAAATGGAAGGTTACGTTCGGTACGTTACAAAATACTTGGGATATTTCAATTATCTTTGCTAAAGTTAGTAATAAATTTAATTATTTTAGACGTCACCTAATCCTCAGTCACAAAATCAGCTTAGTATTATTGTACAAGGTGATCTTGTCGGAATTGATTTAATATGGGATATTGCTTTACGTGCGGAAGAGGAATCTGTGGGCAATGAGGCTATTGTCTTTTTGGTTTATTTATATTTGAATGTGGGTGTGGGCTCAATGTTGTCATTGTTGTCAGTTATTCATTGATTTTGTATTCAGAGTTGTGGTTACATATCGTTGATCTGTGAATTTACTCTTCAGACGGATAAAAAATTGGAAAATCACATTAATCTTGCGCGCCAGCATCGCGAAGCTTTGGTAGACAAATGTGTTGCACATCTGTTTACCGCTGCTAACGGGTTGTCTCGATCTCTTGCCTTCTCAACAATGGATAACAATATTACCATATCTAACTTAGTCCAAGCGTCATTGTCATTAGAAAATCAAGATTCAAATGCTTTAAAATTTAAGAGGTGTCTCGAAGTGTTAAAGTCTTTTATGGACTTATTTGATACTAAATACAGCGATTCTCCCATGGATCTTAACATCGTGAAAAAACATAGTATGCTTAATGAAGCAGAAATGATTACTGTAAAAGTAACAATAACACATGCGGGTGTAAGTTTTTAAATTATAGTTTATTAAATTATTTTTTATATCAAATTCATTTTTTTTTTTTTTTATTTTAGGCGAACCGTGGTTTTGAAATTCAAATTCATCCAACTGAAACTGTTTTATCGTTAAGACAAAAAATTGCTTCTCGTGTGGGATCAACTCGACCTGGAATGATAAGATTAATTACATCAGGAAAAGAATTAAATACTGATCAAAACGGAATGACACTGAAAAAACTAAAAGTAGTTGATCGACAGTCTTTCATGGCCATGAAACGCACTACAGACATAAAAAATGGTTTAGAGTCTGACAAAGCTGAAGATACTGCCGAGGAGGCATGATATTTATATATAACATATCATTTGTTCTGTCATGAAATTTTCGTGTAGTTTAATATTTTTTTTTTTTTTTTTTTTTTTTAGATTACGCAATCAGATCTTCCAATTAATATGCTTTCAAAATACATTGATCAGTTCTTCTTGATGTTAGAACTTGATGAAGCTTATTCGTCACAGGTTTTATATTATTTTAAATATTTAGTATACTTAGTATATTCATTATATTGTATATTCATTTAGGTGTATATATTATGTATATTGATTAACTAGATATGGGATCTTCTTATGAGGCTTCCTACTCATATAAAGTCTATGGAAGCTTTGAAATCACTTGAAATACCAGTTAAATGGGAAGAACTATTTGTTAATCGTTCTCCATTTAGATTATTATATTCTTTGCAAATATTAAATTGGCTTTTAAGAGACGGAGATGAAACTCAAAGTGGACCTGAATGGAGTATGCGTTTTGTAGAAAACGGAGGACTAGATTATTTATTATCTTTACTTATGGTGCGAGGTTCTGCAAATGATAGCAATAATATTGTAAATTGCCAACAAAACAGTGTCACTAAACGTGCCTGTCTTGGCCTTTTATTGAAGGTTATAAGCTATTTTGCAGTTGGTAAGAGAAAAATTCATTTTATTTATTTCGTTTAATATCAAATATGTTTAATATAATGTTTTGTTAACTTCTAGATAATTCATCTGTGAGCTCGACAGTTTTTCAACGATTTGAATCGAATGCTTTAATAACAAAATTAATTGATATTATTGGATATTGCGTAGATCCTTCTCATAAACAAGGTAAATTCCGTTTAATACTAATCTGTTATATTATAAAAAAATATATTATTAAGTCAATAAATATTTTAGTCGGAGAAGATCTTATTATAATTCGATATGCCATGAAGCTTTTGTTGTGCTTATGTTTGCGTGAAGATTCAGCTTTATCTAGCTTTGTTGAATATTCTAATTTGCGTGAATGGTTAATAACGGCATTAGTAGCATGCAGATCAGAAGAAGCTAGGAATCTGATGTCTCAAATGCTTCTTCAGTTTTGTCAAGACATTGCAGAATCTTCGAATGCGTTGTCGAACCAACTCCCCACTTCTCTTGAGTCTTTTCTATCATTATTATGGTCATTCTTGCCAGACGTGGAAAATTATGTTGATACTAGTAAAGAATATTTTGAATTAATGGGAAATTTAATGCATTTTGTCACAAAATCCAATCGTGTTAGTTTACCAGCACTATATAGCGATATTAAGCGGCAAATTAAAGAACATCCAATTAAAGAGGTAATTTATGGAATTTCTAGTGGAGTTTTTTGACGTCTAGTGTAAATAAAAATTTAACAAGAAATAAATTTCATATTAGCAATTCAATTCTCCTAACGAAGATACTGTAATAGTTGGTTTAATCAAATTGATGACGATCATTGTATCGGAATATCAGGATTTTAAACGTGTTTCTGGTGATACGTACGTAAGGAATTATAATATATTTTATTATTTAATTTAAATATTTAGTAATTTGCGTTTAATTGATTACAGGTTACTAGATTTAATATTTTATGAATGTCTGTTCCAAGTTCCTACGATTAAACACACGGGTTCGTGCTTACCTCCAAAGTGCAAACTCGAAGTTTCTAGAAATGCTGCATTAGAACTTTTGAATCAGCTTGTTAAATATTGCCCAAAAAATTTCCTACGTATAACGGAATTATATTTAAAGCAATTGGATAGAGGTGATCAATTAAATGATAATTGGAATTATTGTCCTAGAACAGCTCAAAAATCTTCTGCTGGTTATGTTGGGTTACAGAACCTTGGTGCGACATGTTATGTTAATTCACTTATACAACAATTTTATATGAACGCTTTTTTCCGGCAAAGTATATTTAACACGCCAGTTCTTGATAATAATAAAGATGATAACCTTCTTTATCAACTTCAAGTTGTTTTCGGTAATTTGCAGGAAAGTGAAAAGAAGTCTTACGAAGCCACTACATTTTGTCATGCTTATAAAGATTATGATGGACAACCATTAAATGTAGCGCTTCAAATGGATGTTGATGAATATTTCAATGGACTTTTTGATCGTTTGGAAAATAGTGTTTCAGGGACACCACAGGCGATGCTTCTTAAAGAACATTTTGGTGGATCATCAGTTCAGCAAATTAAATCGAGAGATTGTGACCATATATCTGAAAAAGAAGAATCATTTTATGTTTTAAACTGCGAAGTGAAAAACAAGAAGAACGTTGAAGAAAGTTTGGAACTTTCAGTTGAAGGCGAATTGTTAGATGGAGGTAATTTTAAATTTATTATTTTTTGTTTTATTGTTTATTCGATTTTAATTTAATTATATGCCATTTAGACAATCAATATTTCTGTACCAAATGTAACAAGAGTGTGGATGCTATAAAACGGTATATTCTAATTATATTTATTATATATATATATTTTTCCTAAAATAAAAAAACTAAAATTTGGTTGTGTTTCTTATACAGATCTTGTATAAAAAAACTTCCTAAAAATTTAATTGTAAATTTGAAGAGATTTGATTTTGACATGGAATTGTTAAAACGGGTCAAGATCAATGAATATTTTGAGTTCCCAACAAATATCAATATGGAACCATATACATTGGACTATTTAATTAGAAAAGAGTCAGGTCAACTTGATGAGATGAAATTTGACGTTACAAACAAAGGTCAATTTGAATATGAGTTGGTTGGAGTGTTGGTTCATACTGGTACTGCAGACTCTGGACACTATTACTCTTTCATTAAAGAAAGAAAGCCTTTGCACAATAATGAAAATAATGAAAGTAATGAGCGAAGATGGTATCAATTTAATGACTCCAACGTTGAAATATTCGACCCAAAAGAAATTGCGAAACAATGTTTTGGAGGACCAGAATATGTAATGCAATGGGATCCAGCCTCACAAAAAAATCTTCCTAGAATGTTTGCAAAACAATACAACGCGTATATGCTTTTCTATGAAAGAATTGGTGATCAAAACAATACAGAATCTGAGCAGGAACAAGTTGCAAAAGTACCTACCGATATATATAGTTCTATTTGGGAGGAAAACATTAACTTCCTTCAAGATAAAAACATTTTCGATCCAGGTTATTTTCAATTAATGTGGTCAGTACTTCATTCTATAGATTTTGCCGAAAAATCTAAAATTACTGTAAATGGAGAAGAAATAGATTTAGTTCTTCGTACAATTCAGCTCGCTACTGAGTTTGTGCTAGGTACACTTTCACGTGCCAAAGACAATCACGAGCTAAAGAACTGGGTAGAGTTTCTCAAATCATTGTTTCAAACACATTTGTATGGATGTCAATGGTTAATTGGTCGACTTATCGATAATAATCCTAATTACATTCAACAAATTCTTATGTCTTGTTATGTTCAAGATGTTCGAGAACAAATTGTTGATTTAATAATGTTTGTTTTAAGAACACTCCGTAACGGAGATCCAACAGCTTATGGTTTACAAACAGTTGTTGTTATTGATAATGAAGATATTTTAGACTCGTCTATGAATTTAGATTCAACTCAAGCTCAAATTTGTAATCCTAAGGGCCTGATCGTTCAATTATGCGAGGCATTGCTTAATTTATTACCTTCCGCACACATTTGGTGGAGGAATTTTGAACAATATTTCTATCTACTGTCTTATATTGCTAGTTCTGGTATGCCGGAACGTATATATATGATTAAGCGAGGATTCATCGGAGAATTGGTTAAATTATTCTTATTGGATGAATTGCAACCATTAAAATCCCGTAAACGAAGAATGGGTGACAAATTTTCATTGCCTCCTTTTCGATATTTGTTGACTACTTTACGTACTCTTTTAAGAGCTTGTGATGTTGCTAATATAATTAGTGATAGGGAATCGGAAAGAGAACGAGATCCGTCCTCATTAACAGGAATTCAAACTTTATTAAGATTAAGTCGGAGCGAATATGATTTAATTTTCGAACATAACGAGTCTGAAGATATTCAATATATTTTCTTCATGAAGCAAATTCGAGACTGTATTGATGGTGCTGCATCTCGAGAAATCTTTCAACATTTTGCTATCAACAATGAAGAAATTTCCGAAGAATTTATAAATCAATTGATCCGTGCTGCTGATACTTACACTGCAGATCATGTCCGACCACACCTTGAAATTATATATTCATTGAATCAAATCCAAGATTCATTTACACAAATTAGAATCGAACATACTATTTCAGAGATCTTAAAGGTAGAAAAGTCTTTCGTTTTTCTTTTTCAATTGAAACTTTAAACTTGTAAATTACGAAAATTCTTAAAAATTTTATAATTTTCAGTTAGCTAAAAGTAATCAAAATTCTCCCCCTATTGCATATGAGTGCCTTGGATTAATTGAAGCGTTATGCACTTCAACAGTTGGTGCATATGTTCAAAATGCATTTTTCAATTATATGGATGATTGGTTACTTGAATATCTTTTGATCAGTCCATATGAGACTGTGAGGCAACGTGCCGAAGATCTGTTTTCTTTATTGATATTTGGTAAATTGGATGAAGCGCAGGGAGATCAAGCACAAAAAGATGCATATAAATCGATGACAAAGCATTATACCATGATGCTCAAACATATGGATGGTTTTGAACAATGCTGGAAAGCAACACATAATAGGAGAGGAGGTACTAAACCTTGTTTTTAATGAATTAAATTCAAGCATAATTATTAATAGATGCTTTTTTTTTTTTGTTAGCTGAACCTTATGGATGGAGATTAAGCAACATCTTTAGATGCATGACAAAATGTTTGAGATCACAAAAAGAGAAACAAATGGTAAGAATTTGATAAATTTGTTAATTATTTTATTTTTCTTTAATTTTTTATTAATGCTAAATATTTTTTATTATATTTAAAAATAGTTTCAAGCATATTATGAAAGGTTCAGTTCTATTTTCATTGCAGTAGATACTGCCAGGATAGATTGTGATATGGACAAAAAGGTTTGTAATTATCTTTTGATGTGATTGCGTTTAACGTACGAAGTTGATATTGTTATTTCTCATTATTAGGAAATAATTACATTCTGGTATACGGTCTGCGAAAATTACACACCAAATGTGGATATATTCATATCGAATGAAAATTTGACCAATCATCTTCATATGTATTATGTTAGGTAATTATTATACATGTTATTTTATTTTAATTATTAACAAGTACTTATTACGATCTTCATTATTATTTAGTATTAATCATACACAAGAGAATATTAATTATAATCAGACAACCCTTCCAAAATATTATGGTTTACTCTTAATGGGTTGTCGCCGTTCAAATGAATATCATAAAAGATGGATAGAAGCTCCAAATTATTATTGGGCGCTTAGTAGTATGATATTCGGTGACTTTTACGATGACCATGTAAGTTGATGATGTATAAATTGATGATTCTTTGTGCGGCTGGTGCGAAGACATGTAAAGTTATTAAATTTCTTTTTACCGTACACAGAAAACCGACGAATTAATCGCGCTGATGAATTTCAGTGCTGACGAATCAATAGTATTCAGATCAAAAGTCTGGGATCATGTAATCCCAACATTGAGTAATAATACACCTTTATCACGTAAAGTTAGCCAAATTTTAAGGTATATCCGATATTTCGATAATACATTTCAATTTTTTTATGTATATTTAATATTCCTAATATTATATTTTTAGACTTGTCCAGTTTTTAAATAGAAATTCAATAGAAGATCTCTATTTGTTCGGTAAATACCATGGATTTGAAATTTTGTCTCAGGTAACTACTTTATATATCGGTTTATAATGAGTTATAATTTTAATCTATTAACAAAATACCAATGATTTAAATTCGGTAGCATATACATACTATTAAGGACAAACATCCTAATGATGAAAGTATTCTCAAATGCCTGGAGGTTATAAATTTAAACCTGGGTATTGCCCTATCATCTGATGAAGGTAATGATGAAATGAATGGTGATTTTATATTTTTATCGGATGAACTAATTAATATAATTATTTTTAGGTACTCGTGATTACATTAAAAGTTGGAAATCACGGTCAGATTTTGTAACCAATCTCTTAACGTTTCTTCATCCGAATGTGGAAAATGCAGTTTATGTAAAGGCGTCAGGTGAGTTCAAATACAATTTTACTTTAAAAAAAAAATTGTGATTATAAAATTTTTTTTTTTGTCATTTTACTAAAAATTCTTTGTTCAAATAGAAATCCTTTGTAAATTTGTTTCAATGAAATCCACCATGAACCTTGCAAGTGAAATTATGCAAATACTTATCGACAAGCATTCACTTTGGCAGCGCGGATGGTCCAATGTTACTCAAGAAGGTAATACATTTTTTTCAAAGCTTTTGATTTTTTGGTATAATATGTTTTTTTTACATTTTGTTATTATAGAATTACAGTTGAAGTTTGGAGGAAGCCAATCAATTTTTACAGAACTGAAGTTACTTGCCAATGAATCTGAAAGTTATAGTCCATCCGGGCCATCAATTCACGTTTATAAAACATTTTTAACTAAGTTACGAAGCGAGGATATACTTCGATTACAGCAAAAAATATACAACCCTTATTTGGTGATCATTAATAAATTGGTCGACGCCGCCATAGAATTGAAGGAATTTGATAAAATTATTCGGTTATGTAAGTTTATATAGCCCAGCTTCTTAAATTTTCTCTCTCTTTTTTAATACTTAATTTATTATACAATAAAATTATTATAGGTTCATTGATTGTTTTAGAAATGATGGACCACATTGATGTTAACGATATATTTAGTCAACTGTTGAATATCTATGAAAAGTATTCGACCAAAGAAGTCATAAACGCTTATCACAATGCACCATTTGCAATGTTGGTCGAACGTATTTTGAATTCAGATTCACATTTTATTTTGGATCTTTCGCCGGAAAGATTAAATACTTTCAAATCGCTAATTGGCATTGTAAGACATTATTCATCTTGATTATTTTTCAATGAGTTTATTAATTAATAAATCGCTTTTTACATTTTAGATAAAGACAAGTAAACCAGATGTCATTCAACCTATAGTGTTGAAACATATCCAACAATTTGCAGCTAATTCTAAAGTCCTTAGAGAGAAACTTGACTCTAAAGATTTGGATTCAATTAATACAATTATTAAAGAACTTCTCATAGTAAGGTTTCCAATTTAAGTTTTACGTAAATTTATCAAACTATTTAACATAATTTTTTTTTTTAGATTCTTCAAGTTTTGGTACTTTCATTATCTGACAGCGATATACCAGTTGATGATCCTCTTAGAAAAGCCTATTTAGATAGTTTAAAAGAAATAAATTCAGAACAAGTTAAAAGTGGACTTGGACAATTTGATGAGATGACAGAAGTAATTAATAAGATTAATTTTCTGCTCGATCAATTGACACCTCAATGTGAAAATGATTTTGAAGTTGTTGAGAAACCGAAAAATGATACGATTAGTAATAATGCATAAATTGTGTTAATTATGAATGATTATTAATTACCTTAGAGAATGCGGAAATAATTATATAATTTCATCACCCTTTTATCCTTCTGGTTTTCTTAAGTGTATGATATTAAAATTTTTTTTACTTATAATCTCCTTTTTTTAGTTGTAGTGTATTTTCTCTTATCTCTGTTTTTATATTATTGATTTACACATATATAAAATATAATAAAAAACCTACATTACCAACAACATACAGTATATATGTAATATGCACTTTGCAGATTTATCTTAAATACTTTTAATATTACACAACTCCTATCAATAGTCTAACTTTTTTTTAGTTATTAAAAGAATGTCAAGAAAAGGTGATGATCTTCAAATGAAATCATGCGTGATGATAAAAAAACTGTCACGCCAGAAAAGTTTGTAAGATAAATTAGATAAATAAAATATTGAACTCCTTCTTTTACCAAAAAAAAAATTATAACTTTTGAACACTCAAAATTTGAACATTTTATTATAAAAATAATTAACTTTGCTACAAAAATTTTCAGTTCAAAACCTTTTGTTTTTAAAAAATAAACAAATAGACTTTTTTTTTTAAAAAAAAAAAAACTCTCCTTTTCCAAAGTTAAAATCAAAAAAAAAAAAAAATGTCACAAACAGATAATTCATCATTTAAGGAGGATAATTTAATCAATCAAATGAATAATTTAACAATTCAAAATAAATATGATAATAATTTACATTCTAAAACCAATAATAATAAAACGGTAACACTTCAAACAATTATACCAGAACTTGTAGAATGTATATTGATTCATTTACCACATCCTTATGAAATTTCACTCGTTTGTAAATTATTTCATGAAATAGTTTCAAAATCAACAAGTTTTAAAAGAAGATGGCTTAGATTTTGGCTTAATCCAAATTTACCTGATGCATTTTTGCCAAAATATTCAGATTTATGTCAAGCGATTAAAACAAAAACACCATTTTTTATATTAATACAAATTATTGAATTACAAAGATTATATAATAGACCACTTGCATCATCATTTGGAGGAAGTGTAACAAAATTATTAGATGAAGCATATAATCATGAAGAAAGAGATAAATTAATACCACTTTTAATATCAAGAGGGTTAGAAATTGAAAAATATATTAAAGATCATACATCAAAAGATTTTCAATTAACAGGAGGAGTAAATTATGAAAAAAAATTAGAAAAAGATTATTTATCATTATTAATAATAGCAACAAAAAAATCCAAAATATTTAAAGAAAAACTTTTAATATCAAAAAATTTTTTTTCAGATACAGATTTAGCATTCGCTATAGTATTACATGAAAGATTAGATGTAGCAACTATATTATCAATTAATATACAACATACATTAGATATATTAGAAGAAAGTGTTGATAGACAATATACAGCAGGAATAGCATGGGCATTTAAACAAGGAATCAATGAAATACAAAAAGAAAAACCATTATATTTAAGATTATGTATTGATAAAGCAGATGTTGAATCAGCAAGACAAATTATAGAAAGTGGGGCCAATATAAATATATCACCAACGACACATACAGAAGATTTAACAATTTATGGATCAAAAAGTTTATTAGAATTTTGTATTCAATGTTATTTCGCTAATGGTAATGATAATAAAAAAGCAAGAAAAGAGATGATAGAATTATTTTTACAATCAGGAGCAGATGCAAATTCTGATAATGGTAGACCATTACAATTATGCGTAACAAATCATGATTATGAAATATTAGATTTATTATTAGAATATGGAGCAGATGTTAATTGTGATGGGAAATTTGCCATTAAAATAGCGACAGATTTAGGATATAAAGATATGGCAAAAAAATTATATCGTATATCCAATCCAACAGGAGAAGTAGTTAAAGGTATGGTTAGAAGAATGAGTTTATTAGGAAGGAGAAGAAGTAATAGTGAAAGTGATGCAAATAAATCTGATCAAACTCAAAGAAAAAAATCAAAGTTAAGAAACATAAATACTCATAAGAAAGGAGCTTCAAGAGGATAAAAAGTTTAATATATTTAGGATAATAGATAGATAATCATTTAGTAAATAAAAATTTTTAACAATCGGGACAATTAGTAAGATTATCATCATATTATATTTATCATCATATTATCATAAATGGTCTTTCCTTAAATACATATTTATATACATACATACAAATATATATTTATGTAATGTATGATTGTAATGTTGTTATAAACTTAAAATATATTAAGAAGCGAAATTATAAATATTCTAAATATTCTTTATTTCTTTATTTAAATCTTAGAATTATATTTTATTCATTTTTTTTTTATTATTATTATTATTATCATCTTATCATCATCATCATCATTATTATTATTAATTATTATTTTATAATTAAATTTCTTTTTTAATAAAAAAAATATTACAAAAATATAAATATTTTATATGATTGATATAATAAAATTAATATAAATAAATAATATTATAAATTTATAATACTTAAAATAATAAAAAAGATCACCTGATTTATAAATACAATAATTAGAAGGGTTCAAAGGTAGAAATAAGTCCGACATGAATTTAATTTCTAACAACAAAAAGTAAAATATTAATTTACAAACAATACATTCATATAGATTTTTTTTTTTTTTGTTATTGTTTTGATTGTTTTGCAAAATAGAAAAAAAAATATGTACATTCAAATACTTTAAAGGAAATGCTAAAAAAAAAGATTTAATTTTTTTACTATTAACGGATATAATAAACAAAAAATTAAAATAAAAAAAAAAATATATATATATATAAAAAAAAAAAATCTTTTTTATTTGTGTAATATTATTTGAATAAACAAACTAGGTAAATTAATGATTTCGGTAATCGATGTCCGAAAGTAAATAGGAAATAACGAAGATTAGAGTAACAAAGTTCAAAGGACTGCAGGGGGTTTACGGCTTTTACGCCTATAAATTGAACACTAATAATTAATATTTCTGTGAAGAGAAACAAGTAAAGCAATGTTAGCATCATAAAAGTGTATGATGATCACTATCATCAGTATCATCATGTATTATGTATAATAATCATTTTCGTCCATCCAACATTCAATTTGATATCATATAAAACACGCGGAGTACCAAATGTATCGTAATATAACACCAATATAATTCTCATTCAGTTCTCCTGTTTAATATAAGAAATCAACAACCATTAAAGATTAATCTGGAAAGTTAAATAAAATTTAATACACACACACAAAAAAAAAAAAAAAATTTTTTTTTTTTATTTTCAATAATAATTAATTTTCCCTTGTTTTGTTAGCCAAAGACGGGAACCGTTTTTTTCCGTATATTGGAGACACTAAATTTAACGGTCTGCAGGCAGCATCAAATAAGCTGGATTAACGATTGTATGAATATATGTCATCGGGCATCATCCATATAACGACTCTATAATCATCATTAGTTCTCAAAAAAATTTTTTGAACGATTTTTTTTTACATAATTATATAATTAAAATATCATCATAAAATAATATAATTAGTTTAGAGGAAAAAAAAAAGAGAGAAAAAGATCATCATGATTAAACATTAATATTCGCTGCTGATAAATTACTACAAATTTTAAACTCGTATTATTTACTAAAAAGCTAAAAACCTGTCTCTTATACACATCTAGATGTGTATAAGAGACAGGGTCTATAATCTCCATACATCATCAGTAAAGGAAATTATTTTGTCTAACAACTTTAAAAAAAAAAAAGGTACATTGCAGATTAAATACATAATATGATTTACTTCAAACGTACCGCAGTTGTTAGAAGTTGATTGAACGATACAAACTAATATTTTCTTAGTCATTTTAGTGTACTTTTGTGTGTCACAAACCAGCCGCAAAGCTTTGGATTTTTAAATAAAAACTTAATTTTGTTTTCTGACGTCACGGTAACCTTAGACAGGAACGAGAGAGGGGTCTTTCTATACTTTAATATTCTCATATCAATACACGCGTTGACAGGCACAATCTGTGGTTGCGGATTCACCGTTCAAACTCTAGTCATTTCTCAATAAACCAACGATTTAACCCAAAGTATTACTGTTAGAGACTTTTTAATTAACAAGGTATGAAAATGATGAACAAAATGTTATACTTACCCTTTGGTCTCCTCTCTCTCCCAAACAGCGAAAACTGACGAAACTCGGTCTCTTTTTTTTCTTTTTTCTTTCTTTTTTTTTTCTCTCTATCTTTCTATCTCTATCTCTCTTTACAGTTTAACAATGACAGATACCAGTATCAACTTTTGGGTAAAATTTTTTTTTATTTTTTTTCTATTCTATTTTTTTCTTTTTGCCATTTTCCTTTGCTATAAATAAATGTAGGTTCAATAAAAATTACAAACGAACTCAACCAATACAAAAAATCTCTTCAGGTTAATCCTTTCCAGATGTTGCGATTTAACGGTAAAGATGAACTTACCAAAGGAGAAGTGGGAGTAGATGACGAACGCGTGATGAACGGTGGTAAGTTTTTTTTTTCCTAAGCTTGTTTAAGAAAATAAATAAGCTGGTTTTAAAAAAAAAAGTTTCTTGTTATTTACATTTCAATCGTTTCGAACCATTTAAATACCACTTTTTTTTTTTTTTTAAAAAAAAAATTTCTTTGATGAATAAATAATTGAGACAAATAATATATAAGTTTCATCATCTAATTTTTTTTCAACTTTTTCTTTTTCAAACGTGGATTTTCCTTTTTTTTAAAACAAAAGTATCTTTGATGAAATTTTTATATTGTCACTTTTCATTTTATATCATCTCTTGAATTTATTGAATGAAAAAAAAAAACAAATTCAATTGTTTTTCGTTAAACATTATATACAATAAAAAATGAGATGGTATATTCTAAAGGTGTTCAAATTTAAAGAATTCAAAGAAAATTTTATGTTTATATAAAAATATTCTTTATTTATATATAAAGTTGCTTTATTTTATTTTATTTTACTTTATTTTACTTTATTTTTTTTATATTTATGTTCTTATCCTTTTGTGTTGTTATCTATTGTGTTCTTATCCTTTTGTATTCTTATTCTTTCCAAATACCCGGGTTATATAAAAAATCCTCACCACCTACATCCACACCGACGCGTCATTCCTTTAAATCACCAGATGAAAAACCTCTTAAAATGCCAACTAAAGTTGTCACCCCTGCAGATGCTGCCGCTGTGCTGGCTTCATTGACACCTCCATATAACAATTCTACTTACATAAATCACGATAAAAAATCACATCACCATCATAAATATCCCGTAGATGAAAAACAATCAAAAAAACAATTAAAACGCAGTATTGGTTTTAATCATTCTAATCGTTCAACCTCTCCTCGTCAAACAGCGTCAATTGACGTTGCTGAAGTATTGGCTACTACAGTTTCTTTTGTTAGAGAGAATAATAAAAAACTTGATAGGCTGTCTGACGAGGTCAGAAGTGACGGTCAAAGTAGTGATAACGATATGGACTCTGTTATGAGCGATGATAGTATGGAATCTTGGCAATTTTCAAATAATAATAATAGAGAAATTGAAAATGAGATTGCTGTATTAGGTGTTCAATTGAATGATATGGAATTGAAATATAAGGACCAAATTCGGGGAAAAAATAAGTTAATAGAAGAACTTGAAAGTGCTTGGAAAAAAAGTGAAAAAGATGTAAGAAAAAAGGATAATAAGATTGAACGTTTAGAAAATCAACTTGAGGCTTCAAGAAGGGCTATAGCAGAATTGGTCGAACAACAACAACAACGGGAGAATGAAAGTTATAATTCTCGTTTATCTCCTGATCCTGAACAAGCTGAAACTCAGAGGCTTTTGGAACAAGAATTGGAAGAGAAAGACAAATTAATTGATGAGTTAAACAAAAAGATTCAAATTTCAAATAATAAGAAAGCTATTGAGTTAAAAGAGAAAGAAGAGAAAGATAAGAAACTTGAAACAATTTCAAATCAGCTTTTGAAATATAAAACACTTGAAAATGAATGGTATAATAAACAAATGACACTTGATTCTTTAACTAGTCAATTAGAAGTTCTCAAAAAACGTGAGGTTGAACTTAATGAAAAGGACGCTCTAATTGAAACTCTCAATATTCGCCTAGATACATCACAAAAAGTAATTGCTGAATTAAGAGAGAAACATGCGCCACATGATCTTTTAAGACAACTTAGACAAAAAGATTATATAATTGATAACCTTACACAACAAGTCGAAAATATTGATGCTGATATGAAAGATAAAGATGATGATATTGCCGCTCTTAAATTACAATTAGCTGATGAGAAAAAACTTATAGAAAAATTAAAGGAACAAACAGCTCAAATTGAACCTTTAAAGAAAAAAATTGAAGAAGTTGAAGATGTTAATTATGATATTCGATCTCAACTTGCTCATAAAGAGAGACAACTTACTGAATTAGAAAAAAGATATAAAGAATCTTTAAACAATGCACAAAATAGTCAAGATAAAATTAAAGTTCAAGAACAAAATATGTCTAATTTACGTCAAGAAATTTCTCAACTTAGACAAACTCTTTCAGTTCAAGCCTCTGAATCTCGTGAAAAAGAAAGACTCCTTCATACTCTTAGAGATGAATCTGCACGTATGCGATCAAATTATCAAGGTCTTCTTAATGCTATATCTGAAAAAGATCAAAAAATTCAACAATTTGAACGTCATTTAGAAAGTTTACAAAATGCTCCTAAGAATGATCCAATTGAAAATGATAACAAAGCTACTAAAAATGAAGTTCGATTAAACGCATTACAAAAAGTTTTAAATAATAAAATTGAAGCATGTAGAGAATATGAAAAGAAGATCGCAAATTTAGATAAGGAGTTTGATGGATTTAAAAAACAAATTGAAGAATCACAATCAGATAGTTCAGAAAAGGAGGTTAAAATTGCTAGACTTGTAAAAATGAACCGTCAATTGAAAGAAGAAGTTACAGAATTAAAACAAAAAATGGAAGAAAAAGAAAAGGAATTAGTTATAATTAAATCTAAAATTCCCAAACCTAACCCCGGAAAAACTCCTTCTGTTTCATCTAGAAAAACCTCTGATAGTCCACGAACAGTTGCCTTAGCTCGCACTAGATCATCAACTTCGACTTCTTCAGTCGAAGAAAAAAGAAGTAGTATCGTTTCAGATTATCCAAGAGTTTCCTTAACTCGTACCAAATCATCTGCTTCGACCTCCTCAATTGAAGAAAGAAGAAGTAGCATCATTCTCTCGAAGAAGAGAGAAACCAAACCAAGAATTTCATCATCACTCAACACTGTCGATGTCCTTAAAAAGACACCAAAGAAAGAGTCCAGCCCTATTAATCGATCTGCCGTCACTCAAAGAAAACGTGAAATGGAAGTAGTGAATCATATGCTTAGTGGTGTTGCTTCTTCTGGAAAAAACAAGTTGTCGACACAAAAACGTTCCACCACTGTAAATGAAGCGGCAAAAAAGAAATCTACAGAAGCTACTCGACCAAAGGTAAATGATAACAAAGCCTCTACTTCCGCACAAAAAACGAGGACCCCTTTAATCCGACCATTGCCGTCTAAGAAATCATAAACAATCAAAATCAATCATGAGAAGATTTTATTGAGATACATTTACTTTTTTTTCATATTTTTTTTTTGCTTAGTTTTCTTGTGTTTTTTTATACATGATTTAGCTGGTTTTTTTTTATACATTCTCTTCAATTCAAATTTTAAACAAACATTTATTTACTCGAGGTTTCTTTTTTCTTCTCACTCCCTTTTATACTTTCATTTCTATTTTTCTTTATATATTCATATATACATATATTTCTTTTTTTTTTGGTTTCATATTTTAAAAAAAAAAAAAATTTTCACTTTTTTTTTCACTATTATATATATTTACCAAAATAAAACTTAAACAAAAGAGAGAGAGAGGCAAGGAAGAGACAGAGAAAAGTCAAGAAAAAAAAAAAAATATTAAAATTAAAAAATCAGTTCAAAAAATTTTTTTTTTTTTTGTATTTTAATTTTTTTTTCCAATATTATGAGATCGTTAAAAAAGCAAAGATGAATGTTTGTTCATTTTTCATGTGTTACAATTTTTTTAATTGAATTACTATTGAATTGAACTATAAAGTATTAACATTTCAATCGTGTTATCAACGTATAGAACGAGACGCATTCAAAAAAAAAAAAAAAATTCGCGTTACATAAAAATTATTTTAGAGCCCGTACATTTTTGAAATTAAGAAAATTAAGATAACTCGATTCAAATTAACGAATGAAATTGTTTCACTTTTTTTTTGCATCAAATCGTGTTATATTTGATTCATGTAAATTACTTTTACTAAATTCTAAAATATTGAGTAATTTCTTCAACACGTGAATCATGATATATACTAATCTTGAAGTATTAGTCATAATGTGTAAGAATATTTAAAGATATAATTGGTTAGATCTGCTTGAATCTATAAAAAGTTGAAGATCTATAGCATTTTAACCTTTTGATCAATTGATCAATTTATAAAGGGACAATAAAAGTGACTTTGGAAACAAATAAAGAGACTTCAAATTATTTAATATGGCTGGAGTTGAAGAAAGAGTTAGTGTCGATCCTTCCACATTGAACCCTCTTTCACCTGAAGTTATATCGAGGCAAGCTACTATCAATATTGGTAATGACGCCCCTGATTGATCTCAAATTCTTAAACTTCTATTATATTGTCCGTCTATTCACACACGATTTTCTACTTTTGGCACAGGAACAATTGGTCATGTAGCGCACGGTAAATCGACAGTAGTGAAGGCAATTTCCGGTGTTCAGGTTGGAACGATTTTCAAAAAGAAATTTTTTTCAATTTTGTTTTAGGTACTAAGTGTTGTTAAATTTATTGACGTAGACCGTTCGTTTCAAAAATGAGCTTGAACGTAACATTACTATTAAATTGGGTTATGCCAATGCCAAGGTACTTCGATTTTCTTTCAATAATTTGTAAGCACCATAATCAATAATTAAGGTATTTATTTAGATTTATAAATGCGAAAGGGAAGATTGTCCTCGTCCAGGTTGTTATAAATCTTATCGTAGTGATAAGGAAGAGAATCCTGCTTGTGAAAGACCTGGATGTACTGGAAAAATGAAGTTATTAAGGTATTATTTTTATTAGAATGATTTAGTTAATTCAATTTTTCTAATTTTTTATGTTCTAATTCAGGCATGTTTCATTCGTGGATTGTCCTGGTCACGACATTCTTATGGCTACTATGTTGAACGGTGCAGCTGTTATGGACGCTGCACTTTTACTTATTGCTGGCAACGAATCTTGTCCACAACCTCAAACTAGTGAGCACTTGGCTGCTATTGAGATCATGAAATTGAAACATATTATAATTTTACAAAACAAAGTCGATCTGTGCAAAGAGAGTGCTTGTGAAGAACATTATAGAAGTATTTTGGACTTTGTTAAAGGTAATCACTATTTATAATTTTTTTTTTTTTTTGTTTAAAAAAAAATTCTTTTTGACTAACTTACTTTATTTCGTTTGAAGGTACTGTTGCTGATGGTGCCCCCATTGTTCCTATATCAGCACAGTTGAAATATAACGTTGATGCTATCAACGAATATATTGTTAAAAAGATTCCTATTCCAGTTCGTGACTTCACGTCAGATCCTCGATTGATCGTAATTCGATCTTTCGATGTTAACAAGCCTGGAGCCGAAGTTGATGAACTTAAAGGTGGTGTGGCTGGTGGTTCGATTTTACGTGGAGTGTTAAAGGTTAAATTTTATTTATCTAACCCTTATTAAAAAAGGATTTTTAAGTAAATATTTTATTACTCGTTAAATTCAGGTTGGAGATGAAATAGAAGTACGACCTGGAATTCTTACAAAAGATAATGAAGGTCAAATTCATTGCCGTCCAATATTTTCGCGTATAGTAACACTATTCGCAGAACATAATGATTTGAAATTTGCTGTTCCCGGAGGCTTAATCGGTTCGTGTTTATATCTTAGACCTTATAATATCTTTAGTTTTTTTTTTATATTAATTATTTCATATACAAATATAGGTGTTGGAACCAAAATTGACCCTACTCTTTGTCGTGCGGATCGTCTTGTTGGTCAAGTTCTTGGTGCTGTTGGTAAATTGCCCAAAATTTATACAGAACTAGAAATTAATTACTTTTTGCTTAGAAGATTGTTGGGTGTTAAAACGGACGATAAAAAACAGACTAAGGTATTTTATCACAAATTTCTCAGGACATAGTAGGGGTTAATTTTTTTTGTTGGTGGAAGTAATTTAATTTTTTTTTTCAAGGTTTCAAAATTGGCAAAGAATGAGGTTCTTATGGTAAATATAGGTTCAACTTCTACGGGTGGACGTGTCATGAATGTTAAAGCAGATTTGGCTAAAATTATCTTGACAAGTCCTGCTTGTACTGAAATTGATGAGAAGATTGCCCTATCCAGAAGAATTGACAAGCATTGGAGGTATTAAATAATATATAAAATTCCGATCGAATTTCAACTATTTTTTAGTTGATTTATATTAATGATTTATCTTTCTTTTAGATTAATTGGATGGGGTAAAATTAAACGCGGTGTTGATATTGAGCCTGATGAAAGAAAATGATAAGATGTTTACGACATATTTTGATAAAGTTTTTCATTTAGATCTTGTAGTTTATTGTGGTTTTTATTTAATAATAATAGAGGGTAAAAGTTTTGCTTTATTAACAAAAGTTGCATTATTTATTATTGTATTATTATATATTTATCGATTTATAACATCGAAATTAATGAAATTAATATCAAAAATTGAAAACTACCGATTAAAATCCTTTACTGCGCCACAGATTTTAAAACAGAAAAAAATGCCTAAATTTGGAATTTTTTTTACAAATAAAAATTGTATTTATAAATTATAAAATATAAAAAAAAAATTTCGTCTGAAAATATTATTAATTTTCTTGGCAATTGTGTAACTTCCAGTCGGTTTGAGTTCACTGCATTAATTATCACCCCCTAATTTATATAATAATTATTTATATTGTGTAATCGTGACGAATAGATCGACTTAACCAAAAAGACGGGTCGACATTTGCGAGTTTTTTAAACATAAAGCAATAATAGTAATAATCACGAAACACGTGTATCATTACGCGTCTGATGCAAATAGTAATTTATTAGAAGAAGATTCTTGAAGAAGATTCCATTTTACAGGTTTATTCTTTGAAATGAATCACGTTTACCCCATCGTAATCAGTTATTTTATTAGAAAGAGTCCCCAGAAGAAAGTTCGGAATTATATATCCGACATCCGATTGTATCTTTAAAATTGCGCCAATAAACTCGATATAATTGGTTCATACAATCTTTCAAATTTCCTAAATTAGTTAAATTAAATAAATTTGCAATGTAATAAACCAAAATAAAGTTTTATATTATAAAAAGAATATGAAATAAATTAAACTTTATTTATTATAATTTATTCATATTTATACATGCTACTAAATTTTATTATTAAAATTTTATACAAAAATTTAATAACAAACAACGCGTTTAGAAAGAAAATATACCATAATATATTATATAATGAACTAACTTATTTCAAAAAAGATTTCCTGAAAGAACTTTTAGAATTCGTAGAATTCGTGAAAGGAAGAGTTACTTTTAAGCTTTTATCGCCGAAGTCACACAAACTTTTAAAACAAACTTCAACAAACTACAAATAGTCAACCAATCAAAAAATTAATTGTTTCCCGGAGTTTTCATTATTATATTGTAAATCTCATTATGTATAAACCATTTATGGAAACAATAAAATGCACGCAACGTCAATCATCTTAACTATTTCGGGAGGTTTGCTCCTCGTGTCCATCACTTCTCTCACTTGAAACTTTCTGCGCGAAAAACATTTCTAAAGTAGTGTAACAAAACAATTAATCCCGCAGTTAGTGCAGCTAGGTAAAAAAATGTAATAAATTGGATTCGAATTCGAGGTATCCTTTTTTTTTGAAAAAAATTTTTCTCTTCATTCTAATCTTTTTCTTTCATAATCTAACAATGAAACTACTAATCATCCTTATAAAACACATTTCTCTCACATTTCTTTTTCTTATATCCTTTTTTTTGAGATTTTTTCAACTCATTTTTACCAGAGGCGTCAGAGACGTTATTATTATGGTATTTATCTGCATATCAAATATACCGAATTCACTTTACAATTATATCGCTCCTCCTAAGAATGAAGGGTTTTCTTTAAAATTGTTGACTTTAAATGCAAGAGGATTATGCGATATGGGTAAAAACGCGTGGTTAGGTTTTGAGATCATAAAAAATTGTGATTTGGTGGGACTTTCGGAGACAAAGATATCAGAAAAGCAGATAAAATCCGAAAAAATTAATCCTAAATCAATATATGAACGATATTTTGGATATAAGACCCATTGGAACTATTCAAAAACGTCATCATCTCGCAGTAGTGGTACCGCATTTATCTATAATAAAGCATTAGAACAATACTTTGAAAGTATTGAAAGTGATAATGACGGTAGAGCTATTATGATAAGATTTAAAATTAATAACACATATTTAAGAATCATTCAACTATATTGTAAAACCAATCAAAGAAACATTAAATCATGTACAAAAGTTGATAATTTAAAAGATTTAATTTTAGAATGGGTAAATAAAGGAATTAAAGAAAATGAAAGAATAATAGTGATGGGAGATCAAAATGCTGCATTTAATCCATCTCAAGATAGAAAATCAACAAGGAAAGATAAAATTTCTAAACCTGAATCAATTCTTATAAAAAAATTAGTTAACGAGATTAAATTAATAGACATTTTTGCTTTACGAAAAAAGGATAAAAATGTAATGACTTATAAAGATATAAGTCGATTGGATTATATCTTATTAGATAAAAAATTAATAAGTAATCTTAGTGATAAAGGAATAATTAAAAATGATGAATTAAAATTATATACTGATCATGCCGCATTATATTTAGAGTTGAGTTTTTAGAATTTATATAGAACTTATTATAGGATGATTAATAGTTTAGCCTTAGGGGTTAATATTGTTAGTTTGATGGACCGTTCATGCAATTTTATAATAAACTCCCGTTATTTTACGAAAATTTTATTATTATGCTAGTCATAATAAGTAAATCGACCAATGGATACATAAATATGCCCCTTCTCCTATTAATATTTCTCTCTTATTCCCTTTATTGATTGATCTTGATATTGTCTTCTTGACAGACCTATATGGTAACAATATGCAAGATGCATACCTCAAACCTATTAAGATCAATCATACGGAGTTTAAAAACATAACTAAAATCTGGTACTGCTTATTTCCGAAATCTAATTAAAAAAATTTTTTTGTTGGTACCCCAATTTTAACGGTGTAACGACTGTAACGTGTAACACGTTTTATTGTAACATGTAATACATTTAGCCTACCAAGATCGATATTTTTTGCATAACTGATAATAAAAGCTAATCCATACGCAGTTTAAAAGCATAACTAAAATCTGGTACGGCTTATTTCCGGAAACTAATTTAAAATAAAAATTTTTTTTTGGTACCCAATTTTAACGGTGTAACGACTATAGTGTGTAATACGTTTTGTAATACGTTTAGCTATAAGATGTCGATTATATCATTAAAATTTGGAGTTTATATATAAAAGATTAGATTATACGTATATATTTTTGTAAAAAAAATATCGAAATAAAATAAATAAAATAATTTCCAAATTATTATGATAGAATTATGTCATATTTATATCATATTTTCATATGATTTTGTAAGCCAAAAATAATAGAAAATAAAAAAAATAAATAAATAAAATTAGATAAATAAGTCTTGTAAAGATTAAGGATGAAATTTATAAGAATTAAAAACAAATCTTTATAATCTATTATTTTTAGTTAGTTTAAAAAAAATCTATACCAAAAATTTTTGTATTATTATTAAAATTATCATACTGTGAATTTTATTGTGTGACTGCGGCAAATAGTAAATCATTGCATGAATTGCGTCCAATAGTAATCATTAATTTTCAAGTTTTTTTTCAGATTATACAAGAAATCAAGAATACACAACCAATAAATATTTTACATTAAACTGAACTTCAAATCCCACTTAAAATATTGCCTACTAAATCTACCATGTCAACTAAAGTTTAGTTATTATTTTCTTTATCAACTAAGTCAGCAGGTTTTAGAAGATGAAGATATATGTTGATTATTATTCTCTTGATGATTTATATCATTTCAGAGGATGACCTTTTGGCTTGTAATATTCTGGATTTGATATTTTCAGAATATTATGTTCTTCCATTACAACTAATGGCTATCACGGGTAAAGCTCCGAACGGGTCGGTTTGGTCCGGATTATAGACGGTTCGGATTAGAGCCGAAATCCGTAAGAACCGAACCGAAAAACCGGCGGTTCGGTTCGGTTTAATCCGATTTTCATAAAAATGCGAAAAATCGAATAGCCGGCCATCTAGTGATCGTATAAATTCGAGCCATATATCATTGGATTCGTCTC